TGTCTGTTGGCCATTTGGATGTCTTCTTTGGAAAATGTCTGTTCATATCTTCTGCCCATTTCTTGATTGGATGATTTGTTCTTTGGGTGTTGAGTTTGATAAGTTCTTTATAGATTTTGGATACTAGCCCTTTGTCTGATATGTCATTTGCAAATATCTTCTCCCATTCTGTCGGTTGTCTTTTGGTTTTGTTGACTGTTTCTTTTGCTGTGCAAAAGCTCTTTATCTTGATGAAGTCCCAATAGTTCATTTTTGCCCTTGCTTCCCTTGCCTTTGGCAGTGTTTCTAGGAAGAAGTTGCTGCGGCTGAGGTTGAAGAGGTTGCTGCCTGTGTTCTCCTTTAGGATTTTGATGGACTCCTGTCTCACATTTAGGTCTTTCAACCATTTGGAGTCTGTTTTTGTGTGTGGTGTAAGGAAATGGTCCAGTTTCATTCTTCTACATGTGGCTATCCAATTTTCTCAACACCATTTTGTTGAAGAGACTGTCTTTTTTCCATTGGACATTCTTTCCTGCTTTGTGAAAGATGAGTTGGCCACAGAGTTGAGGGTCCATTTCTGGGCTCTCTCTTCTGTTCCATTGAGCTATGTGTCTGTTTTTGTGCCAGTACCATACTGTCTTGATGATGACAGCTTTGTAATAGAGCTTGAAGTCCGGAATTGTGATGCCGCCAGCTTTGCTTTTCTTTTTCAAGATTCCTCTGGCTATGCGGGGTCTTTTCTGGTTCCATACAAATTTTAGGATTATTTGTTCCATTTCTTTGAAAAAAGTTGATGGGTATTTTGATAGGGATTGCATTAAATGTGTAGATTGCTCTAGGTAGCATTGACATCTTCACAATATTTGTTTTTCCAATCGTGAACATGGAATGTTTTTCCATTTCTTTGTCTTCCTCAATTTCCTGCCACTTTACTGAATTCCTGTATGAGTTCTAGCAGTTTTAGGGTGGAATCTTTTGGGTTTTCCACATAAAGTATCCTATCATCTGCAAAGAGTGAGAGTTTGACTTCTTCTTTGCCGATTTGGATGCCTTTTATTTCTTTTTGTTGTCTGATTGCTGTGGCTAGGACTTCCAATACTATGTTGAATAGCAGTGGTGATAGTGGACATCCCTGCTGTGTTCCCGACCTTAGGGGGAAAGCTCTCAGTTTTTCCCCATTGAGAATGATATTTGCTTTGGGTTTTTCATAGATGGCTTTTATGATATTGAGGTATGTACCCTCTGTGCCTATACTCTGAAGAGTTTTGATCAAGAAAGGATGCTGTACTTTGTGAAATGCTTTTTCTGCATCTATTGAGAGGATCATATGGTTCTTGTTCTTTTTAATGTATTATATCACATTGATTGATTTGCAGATGCTGAACCAACATTACAGCCCAGGAATGAATCCCACTTGGTTGTGGTGAATAATCCTCTTAATGTACTGTTGGATCCTGTTGGCTAGTATTTTGGTGAGAATTTTTGCGTCCATGTTTATCAGGGATATTGGTCTGTAATTCTCCTTTTTGATGGGGTCTTTGATTTTGTGGTCAAGGTAATGGTGGCCTCATAAAACGAGTTTGGAAGTTTTCCTTCCATTTCAATTTTTTGGAACAGTTTCAGAAGAATAGGTATTCTTTTTGAAATGTTTGGTAGAATTCCCCTGGGAAGCCATCAGGCCCTGGGCTTTTGTTTGTTGGGAGATTTTTGATGACTGCTTCAATTTCCTTAGTGGTTATAGGTCTGTTCAGGTTTTCTATTTCTTCCTGGTTCAGTTTTGGTAGTTGATACATCTCTAGGAATGCATCCATTTCTTCCAGGTTATCTAATTTGCTGGCATAGAGTTGCTCATAATATGTTCTTATAATTGTTTGTATTTCTTTGGTGTTGGTTGTGATCTCTTTCATTCATGATTTTATATATTTGGGTCATTTCTCTTTTGTTTTTGATAAGTCTGGCCAGGGGTTTATCAATCTTGTTAATTCTTTCAAAGAACCAGCTCCTAGTTTCATTGATCTGTTCTACTGTTCTTTGGGTTTCTATTTCATTGATTTCTGCTCTGATCTTTATTATTTCTCTTCTCCTGCTGGGTTTGGGCTTTATTTGCTGTTCTTTCTCCAGCTCCTTTAGATGTAGGGTTAGGTTGTGTATTTGAGATCTTTCTTGTTTCTTGAGAAAGGCTTGTATTGCTCTGTACTTTCCTCTTAGGACTGCCTTTGCTGCATCCCAAAGATTTTGAACAGTTGTGTTTTCATTTTCATTGGTTTCATGAATTTTTTAATTTCTTCTTTAATTTCCTGGTTGACCCATTCATTCTTCAGTAGGATGCTCTGTAGCCTCCATGTATTTGAGTTCTTTCTGACTTTCTTCTTGTGACTGAGTTCTAGTTTCAAAGCATTGTGGTCTGAATATATGCAGGGAATGATCCCAATCTTTTGGTACTGGTTGAGAACCTGATTTTTGACCTAGGATGTGATCTGTTCTGGAGAATGTTCCATGGGCACTAGGAAAAAATGTGTATTCTGTTGCTTTGGGATGGAATGTTGTGAATATGTCTGTGAAATCCATTTGGTCCAGTGTGTCATTTAAAGTCTTTATTTCCTTGTTGATCTTTTGCTTAGCTGATCTGTCCATTTCAGTGAGGTGGGTGTTAAAGTCCCCCACTATTGTTGTCTTGTTGTTGATGTGTTTCTTTGCTTTTGTTATTAATTGCCTTATGTAATTGGCTGCTCCCATGTTAGGGGCATAGATATTTACAATTGTTAGATCTTGTTGGGTAGACCCTTTAAGTATGATATAGTGTCCTTCCTCTTCTCTTATTACAGTCTTTGGTATAAAATCTAATTTGTCTGATAGAAGGATTGCCACCCCAGCTTTCTTTTGGTGTCCATTAGCATGGTAAATCGTTTTCCACCCCCTTACTTTCAATCTGGAGGTGTCTTTGGGTCTAAAATGAGTCTCTTGCAGACAGCATATCAATGGGTCTTGTTTTTTTATCCAATCTGATAGCCTGTCTTTTGATTGGGGCATTTAGCCCACTTACATTCAGGGTAACTATTGAAAGATATGAATTTAGTGCCACTGTATTGCCTGTAAGGTGACTGTTAACTGTATATTGTCTGTGCTCCTTTCTGGTCTTTGTTACTTTTAGGCTCTCTCTTTGCTTAGAGGACCCCTTTCAGTATTTCTTGTAGGACTGGTGTCGTGTTTCCAGATCATTTTAATTTTTGTTTGTCCTGGGAGCTTTTTATCTCTCCTTCTATTTTCAATGACAGCCTAGCTGGAATTAGTATTCTTGGCTGCATATTTTTCTTGTTTAGTGCTCTAAATATATTATGCCAGTCCTTTCTGGCCTGCCAGGTCTCTGTGGATATGTCTGTTGCCAATCTAATGTTTCTACCATTGTAGGTTACAGACCTCTTGTCCCGAGCTGCTTTCAGGATTTTCTCTTTGTCTTTGAGACTTGTAAGTTTTACTATTAGATGTCAGGGTGTTGACCTATTTTTATTGATTTTGAGGGGTTTCTCTGTGCCTTCTGGATTTTGATGCCTGTTTCCTTCCCCCAATTCGGGATGTTCTCTGCTATAATTTGCTCCAATATACTTTCTGCCCCTCCCTCTCTTTCTTCTTCTTCTGGGATCCTAATTATTCTAATATTATTTCATCTTATGGTATCACTGATCTCTTGAATTCTGCCCTCGTGATCCAGTAGTTGTTTCTCTCTCTTTTTCTCAGCTTCTTTATTCTCCATCATTTGGTCTTCTATATCACTGATTCTCTTTTCTGCCTCATTTATCCTACCAGGTAGAGCCTCCATTTTTGATTGCACCTCATTAATAGCCTTTTTGATTTCAACTTGGTTAGATTTTAGTTCTTTCATTTCTCCAGAAAGGGTTTCTCTAGTGTCTTCCATGCTTTTTTCAAGCCCAGCCAATATCTTTATAATTGTTCGCAACTCTAGTTCTGACATCATACTAATGTCCATATTGATTATGTCCCTGGCAGTTCGTACTGCTTCTTGTTCTTTTTTTGAGGTGATTTTTTCCATCTTGTTATTTTGTCCAGAGAATAGAGGAATGAGAGAACAAAATGCTAACAGGGTAAGAATGACCTCAGAAAAATATACACTAAACAAATCAGAAGAGACCTGAAACTGGGGGAAAAGCAGGGGAAAGGAAGAAAAAAGAAAGAATATAATCAAATATGATCATCCTGGTGTGGTGTCTCCAAACCCGGCAGATCCCTGTGGTGTGCTCTGCACTGTTCCTCCTGGGGGAGGAATGGAAGTCTCCCAGGATATGCTGCTTGTTTGGTCCCTGCTGGAGGAGCAGTGGCCCGACTGTGCCACAGATCAAGGTTTATGGCAACCCTGAGCTGAGAGCCCAATCCTCGACTCCGTCTTTGCAGCCACCTTCTCCGCTCTGATACCTGGGAGCTCTGCCTCACTCAGGCACCCCTGGTCTTTCTGTGACCCCGAGGGTCCTGAGACCACACTGTCCCAGCGAGGGTTCCACCCCCCACTTAGCTACTGGAGTGATGTCCCTCAGCAGAGCAGACTTCTAAAAGTTCCAGTTTTGTGCTCTGCTGCTCTATCACTTGCCAGAAGTGGCCAACGGAGGCCCCCTCCCCCATTGTCTATCCTCCCGAAAATATCGCCTTGGATTCACTTCTCTGCACATCCTACCTTCCAGAAAGTGGTTGCTTTTCTGTTCAGAGAGTTGCTGCTATTCTTTTCTTCAATCTCCTGTTGAGTTCGTAGGTGTGCAGAATGGTTTGATCCCTATCTAGCTGAATTCCTGGGACCAGACAAAATTTAGGTCTCCTACTCCTCTGTCATCTTGTTCCTTCCCTGGTAGACACAGACTGTTAAAACACATGGCATTGAGATGAGCATGAGCAATGGTTTGACCATGCTGTGCTGAAAAGGCACACTACTGCCCCACTTCCTCCCAGGGCATGACTGATGGTTACTGATGACCACTGTGTAAAACTGCCCCCTTCTTTCTTTTTCCTGACTTCAGGTGGATGCACTGAGGTTACGATTGGAGGAGAAAGAATCTTTTCTCAATAAAAAAACAAAACAGCTGCAGGACCTAACGGAAGAGAAGGGGACACTGGCTGGAGAGATTCGAGACATGAAGGATATGTTAGAAGTGAAAGAAAGAAAAATCAATGTTCTTCAGAAGAAGGTGAGTAGCTGACATAAACCCTTTAGTTTGGGAATTGGTATCATCCATGTCTGTCATTTCAGAGAAATTTTTGAGCACGTGGAAGAGAAGAAACTACTTTTTAAGACTTTAGATTAGGAAGTATAAACTTTAAACTTACTGGTATTTAACTTACTGTTGCTTGTATAATGCCATTTTTAGCATAGCCTGATGAATTTTCTATTTGATTACCTGAAAACTAAATAGTGATGATTTTTTTAATATTTTTCAGCTTTAACATAGAGATAATTATACAAATTTAGATATACATTTAAAATAATAACAAGTCTGAAAAATTAATTTTTTTTCCCTTACGGAGAGTTTAAGAATGTATTCTGTGGGTCTTAAAGGTATTTTAGATGCATCTTTAATTTATGTAAATTTTAGTACATCTTATCTTGCTCAACCCATACTGATTTTTTTTTTTTGGTCGGGGAGGACTAACACTTACACTTATCTTTTAATTGGAATCAATGAGAGAATATATAATAAGTTCTGACTACAGTCACCTAACATAGAAGATGCTTGATCTAGCTAGGGCCCTTCTTTAATTTTTTTCCTTCAGCAGCTCATTTTCTCCATTGTAGGGGATCCAGATTTGGGGAATGGCCCCTAATTTCTTTTTTTTTAATTCCCATCTGGTACCAGCATGGAAACTGGGCAGGAACCAGTGGTAGGCAGGAGGAGCCACTGCTGGGAGCTGCCTCAGACAGGCATGTTGCTGGGCACCCATGTTGCAGTTCCAGACAAATGGACTCTAACTGGTCCCTCCTTCTGGTGTCATTTGCCACTATCATCCCCCACCTTGTTTATATCAACAGCATCCTAGCTGTTTTTCGTTTCCACCCTTACCTTTCCTATAGGCTGTTCTGAACATAAAACCTGGAGTAGGCCTTTTATAACATAAAACAATTTATATCACTCTGATCAAAACTCTCTGGTCATAATAACCACCTACATAATTTTGCAAAATGAAAATCATTTAAACTTTATTGAGAATTTCTGGATGAGCATGGGGCCTGTTGCAGCTACACAAGTCATATGCCCATGAAGCCACCCCCAACCCTTGTGGCTTCCATCCTCACTCTCAGGGTATTGGTGATCTGATGGATCACATTATTAATTCATTTCTGTTGAGATCTTCACAGACAATGCCCTGGTAATTTGATCTCCCCTTTGCAGCTCTAGCTAATTGATACAGATAGAAGAGAGCTCGGAAGACATGACCGAGGACCCTTGAATCAATGGGGCTGTTAAGGGCAGATGGGACTAACAGAGAGACAGAGTGGCAGTTCTTGGGGCAGGTACTAAGGATTCCAAAGAAAACGTTTCCTTTAAAATCTGTGGCAGTGAATAATGATGAAAGCTGACATTTTTTGAACTTATGTTGAATACTGTATGCTGGACACTTTGCTATGCTTGTTACATGCACTGTTTACTTATTTTTGACCATAATCCTGTGAAGCAGGTATAGTTCTTAACTCCAGGAAACAAGGACACTGAAGCCTATGGTAGGCTTGCCCAAGGTCATGCAACCTAGATGCAAGTTTTTGGTTTTTTTGACTTTGAGAAAATAGAATAAAATGGTCATTGCAATTTAAGAGAATACGCCTCATTTTCCTTTGGACCTCAAGTTTTATGATAATGACATCAGGTGTCAATCGATGAAGAACATCACAATTGCTTGTTTTATAAGGAGTTGAGACTAAGTGTTCTTATTCTTGAGGAATAAATGGCATTGATGTTCTCGGTAAAGAATTTGGGAACGTACTTTCAATGCATAAGTGACAAAAGACATTTGCTGATGTGCGCATTTTGCAAAATTTTATACTTTGCCCCAATAGCAAGGCTCAAAGTTTTGAGAACTAGTTTGGAAGTTCTAGAACAAAGCCAATTGTATGTTATGGCTCCTTTGGGCAACATGATTATAACACCACTTATTTAAACCATCTAGATAATGGATTAGGAAATATTTCATGTGTATTCAGAGAGGTTCTTCAGCTTCAAGTTTTTTTTCACTGGGTATTTACCAGTCCATTTGAGGAGGAAATAATACCACTGGCAACATAGTGAAGGGGCAGGTGTTCTATTATACCTGCAATGTAAAGGAGAGAGAATCCCCAAAGAAGTAATGCACACAATTCAGAAATCTACTCAAAATGTGGAACTAATACAGAAGCAAATGGGCCAATGAAACATTGTCTTTGGGACAGGAGACTCCTTCAAGTTTTGACCACATTCAGCATAATTGGCTGTTTTAGGGCAGGCCTGGATTGGAACAGCATAAGCTTTGGATTAGGGTGTGTTGGCATGGAAGAAATAATAAACTTATGTCAGTGTCAGACATGTAGTATTACTTAATATTTCTTTCTTATAGACTCTTTGGCAACCAGCACTGTGTTTTGATGCCAATAGAAATGGGTATGCTCCTTTCATAGCCATGTTTAACCTGGCAAAGCTAGGCTTGCACCTCGTATCTGTCAGTCTTGCCTTCAGAGCTCTGGGTCTCAGAAATCTTGTATCCTCCATAAGCCACATGAATAGGTCACATGTCTAGGCAGCAGGCGTGGACACAATGCTCTAAGCATTTTGTTACTTGGGGAAGGAAGTGAAGTTGAATAAACAGAGAACCCCAGGTGACAGAATATCTCTGAGCGAGCTTTTGTAGGAAAACAGCAGTTATCGAGCATGGATTTTTGGCTGTATTCCATAATTCCCAGATATGGAGTTCTTTTAGTAGGGGACAAAAATGTGCACGTATGAAAATTGTTCAGTTGATTATCCTCTTACGGCTGTGATGCTGAAGTCAGAGGAGCAGTACAGTTTTCAAGCTGTAGGCTTTGCATTCTGTTCTCATACCTGAATTCAGACTTCAGTTGATGAAGTGCTATCTGACTATTGAGTTTTTGTAGGAAATGTCATAAAACCTTGATGACATTGTACATTTGGAAAGTATAAATGCCCAGGGTTATAGGACATGGTAGCATTATTTGAACCAGATCAAATTCAGACTGTTATGTAGCTCATGCAACATAAACTTACTACCCAAGAAATTTTTAAAAAGCCATTAAATTGGACAAAAATTCTATCTCCATTTTCATTCTAGGTCTCAGTCCCACTTTATAGAGCAGAGGTACTTTATTTATTAGGGGTAGAAAAACAGATGGTGATTTCTCTGGAAGCCAAGTTCACTATCTGCCTACTGGGCTTCATGGATTGCCCTGTGGGTTGGAAAGGGCAGGGAGAGGTGAGTGGAATTGGCTTCTGGGGGTGACGTGTATGGACCTGCCCACTTCAGCAGCTTTATTCTACCCATTTGGAAGTGTGGCGGTGAAAATCCTGAATGACGATAATCTGAGAGGTAAGGATGCTGCAGGAGTATGGTTACTATCATACTGGGTTTCTTCATGAAGTTTATCAAAAAACAGTATCTGAGGAGACGAATATAGAACATAGAGATTTCCATGTTAGTGTAAAGTTGATGTAAGTTATGGAGGACTTTGAACTGAGCTCTTTCTTGGTGTTTAAACATCCAGTTGCACTTTTATATTTATTATTGGCAAACCACCTATTTTTTGAACACATGGAAAATTGTGTTCTTTTTGCATTTACTTAATGTTTCCTATGTGTCAGTCAGTCACTACTCTAGGTCCTAGAAGCTCAAAGGGAAATAAGACATTCTCCAGTCTTCCAGAAGCTGACAGTCTGGTTGGGGAGATAGACATGCATAATGGAGAGCAATATGATGTATTACCAGATGCAAACTGCTTGATGGACGCAGACAGCAGAAGCTAATTCTGACTACCTTGAGCAAAAGGGAGTTTATGGCAGATACCCAGAGCCCCAGTATCTGGCCGGTAGAACCAGATTAAGAATGATCAAGAACCAGGACAGCTGTAGGAGACCAAGAGAAAGGAGAGAGTGCCATGATCTTATAACCAAGAATGTCTGGTCAGGCATCTTCTCTGCTGATGGCTCCCCTTCACCCTCCTCCCACTGCTCTTACATCATGGTGTTGGTTAAGATTTAAAGTCCTGGGAGAGAGCTCCAAATTTCACACAGGTGCCTCTCATTGGCAGGATCTAACCAGACCTGCCCTAAAAGGAATCTGGGAAATGTGGTTCCAAGAGATTTCCACTCAGTTCTTGTGTCATTTACTCAGGGAAGTCTTTGCTGACATTGCAGGCTGGGAGAGGTTTTACACTTTTAAAGAACCGTTTCTTGGCTCAGTTTGAAATTCTGGATCCCTTTAGTGAATGTTGGCTTCCCTCCCACGGCTAATCTCTGTGAGTGCCCCAACTGTAGTATTCAAGATACCTCCAGCTCCTTGCAGAATTCTTGGCAGGTGATGGTCCTCAATCAATAAACATTGGGTGAATAAATTATATCAGCAAATTCTGAATGAATGAGGACTTGGGAGAAGAGAAATCACTTTGAGATCCACTCCTGGCCCACAAATACTGTTAGTTGTGATGGAAGTCTTTTGCCCCAGTGAAATGTCAGACTCACTCATTGTTCACAGGATGGTATGTTCTATGTAAGCTGCAGGATGGAACCAACCCATGCATAATGAGACAAGGTGGGGAAATGACTGTTCTACCCACATCTCAAACCTTGGTTCCATTACCCTGACAAGACAAACAAGGGGTTACGGCTTGAGTAAGGGAAATTAGCTACTCTTGCTTCCTTTTCCTTTTTAATAAAAAGAAAATGTGGCATTTATGAAGAATACTGTCTTGTTTTGCAGTGAATACTGCTTCTTTCTCCAGTTCTCGCTTCTAACTTACTGGATTGTTAGAGGCATGGTATTCTGGTGAGAATGATAAAATGAAAGTATTGATTATTCATGATCATTTTTAATTATGACCATGCAAATGTTAATTTTTTATAACAAAAGGATTATCTGCTGCTGATTGAGCCCTTACTACACACCGGACATTGTGCAAAGAGTTTTGCACCCTTAGGTTATGAGTCCTTATAAC